TTTTGACGATAGTTGTAGAAAGCAAGTACTGTTTCATTTACCTGATTTAAGATAATAAAACCATAATTATATTAATACTAAGCCATGGCAAAATGCCCACCCTCTGAAAACTAAAGTCTGGGGTTTTGCTCCCTATAAGTATTTCAGTTTTTCCTTTATTTTATCATACTTCAGTGAAATTTTAAGGACAAAATGCTGGGACCATAGTTTGTCTGCTACTAATGTTCATTAAATTAAAAGCAGCCACAGTAGATCATCTGACTCTTTGGCATGAGGAGCAATATGCTTCTTGTTTCTGACTAATTTTCAAACTGAGGTTGTTGATAATATATCATCCCAGTGAGCATTCATGTGTGAAGTGTGTCAGGTGGTAAAAATGGTAAATGGCATGTATTTGTATAGCGCTTTACTCAGGAGTGTGAGGGCAGTGTGAGCTCCATTGTGAGCCAGCGAGCAGCACCTACATTTAAAAAAAACTTAATTAGGACGAAGGAGAAGTCACAGGTTCAGCTGTGAAGTGGAGCATGCCTGATGTTTACTTTCTGCCTCAAATGTTCTTGCTAGGTTGTGTCATAAATGAGGTAAGAGACAAATGAGGGAATATTTCGAGAGAACACGTGGAGGTTCTGGTAGATGTGAATTACAGCCTCCATAAAGTGTTGTTTATGGCCTTGATCTGTTTCCCAGTACGTGTGTTTGTGTCCACGTGCACGTTGAGGCTCAACAGTCGACAGTGAACATCATAAAGGTGTGATGGGCGAGTCTTCTAGCTGTGTTGCAATTACAAGTCTTCCTAGATCCAAGAAAACGAGGAAACCTTCACATGAGTGTCTGCAGTCTTCAGCAGCTACAGGCCATCCCTGCAAGTGGGAGGGTCACACTGCAAATCCAGTGTGAGCTGGTTTGTGTAACTTTAAACTAACAATTACGACAAAGGAAACTAAAGCTCACACCAAAGAGCCATCCATGAACATAGTTATCGTACACTGTAGACTCCAGATAGTTAGGACAGTTTGTACTCTTAATATGCTACTGTGAAACTACTGTTT